AAACTTGTTTTCCAGAAACAATAAAGAAGCATAAGGAGACTTAGTCATTCAACTTAGAAACAAAACCCAGTCTTACTCGAAAAACCCTGAAATAAATAAAGGCGACCAAACCATTAAACTTATAAACAAAGCTTGGTCCCTTAAAACTGCAATCACAAGCAGTCGTCGCAAGTCAGTGCAACTACACCATCCAACTTAGGAACAAAGTCTGGTCTTTTAGACAGTCAAAATAAACATAGCACTGTGACATTCAACTTATAGACTAAGCACAACCTTTGTTTGACCCAGACGATCGCAAACAAAACCACCTTCTTCTCGCCTTCCCTCAATTCAGAACTATTTTTCTGTCTGAATTAAAACAACCAACAAAAATAAAACATAGATTGCGTATGCATTCCTTTACTTAACTCTGATTTAAGTCAAAAAAGTCAAACATAAACTCAGTAGGGATGCATGCTGTATACTCAGTCAATATGTAGTAAGAGATACAGGTAAAGGTTTTAATTAAGTTTATAGAAGGGAGTAAAAATTACCCCTCAGTTCCTTGCTTCTAGAACCTCACTTAGATTTCGACAAAGCTCCCACAATCGGTGGGGCAACCTCCCACAAAGGTCTTGGCACGGATTACGGGTTGCAATCCCGTCCGTCACCTTCCTCTACAAACCAATAGACTAGACTGAGAGTAAGAAGGGCGGAGAGAGAAATATTTAGTCTCTCAAATCCAGGAGAAGTGCACTCGGAGTCGCGTAAGAGAGCGTTGATTCCTTGACGCACCTGAGGGCCCCGCAATGGGGGTCAGATTGTGTAGCAGCTTGGTGAAACCGATGTCAACCTTTATCTGTTGACTTCCTGACGACCCTCCAAATTAAAAGAAACCCCCCCTTTCAACGAGCTTAGTCCCTACGCTACTCGGAACCCATGGTATACTGGTCACCGACAATTCTACACCTTTGTGGATGGTCTGTTGCTACTTCATTCATCAGCGAACGACGTTGACTACCAGAAAGGTGAGCCTACAATCTCGCAACTTGTTATCGATTACCCCTCCCAACAGGTTGAGCAACACGTATGTCAGTAGGCAAGCATGCAGGCTAGTTGCTCCACTTCTCGCTGCTCGCTCGTTGCTCCTTCGTTCGACAGAGCACAGCGAACCAACCAATGGGTAAGCTTCCAACCTTCGTGGCTTGCTACTCCAGCTAAGTGGGATAAGCACGCATCTGCCAACAGGTAAGGTTTCACCTTGTCTTTTCCTTTCTGCTATATGTCTTTAGCCCAATGTCTTGGCCATGTTCAGGCTACTTCCTGTCAATTGTAGTGTGATGAAATCAAGCCCCGACTGTTAAAGTAAGCCACAATCTCCAAAAACATAGATAGTCACGAACGAGGCAGTGGCACAATCGTCAACACGAACTCAGCCACCAAAGCCATCACCTAGTCTGCGATTCGTAATGAATCATTGCCAGAAATTTAGCCAGAGGTACTGCAACTTGTCATCGTTGTTTGCCCTTTGGTTTATGCTGTATTGCTAGCTCTTCCTAGTAAGTGTCCACTTTTTTTCCTTTCCTCTTCGTACGTCGCTCCATTCACTTCCCTTAGTTAGCACAACTTCAATGACTTGTCCCCCACTGATCTCGAGAAGGATCAGACTGCAACTATGAGATCAAACTTGAAGGTCATTGTCGTACGCACAAACACAGAGAGAGGTTATTTTCCATCAATCGTACAAAATCGGGATGGATCTCCCGCTATAGCACGGACAGTTGCACCCGAGGATCGGTGCAGGCAAGTCTCGAATCTCGTACTTGTCTCCTGACACTCCGATTGTTTGGCTGAGCAAAATCAGAATAAATCTTTTGCTGAGTCCAGGTAGTTTTATCCCCCTTTTTATAGTTTTTTTTCATGCACAACCCTAAAACTGTTTTTTTTTTGCAGAATCTGAACCCACCATCGAACTCGCAACTTCTCAAAGTCTCCAGCTAACACTCTAGCTCGCTCGTTTCCATAGAGAATCGATCGAATTCTGGATTTTTATTTATTTTTACTCCCACCATATCTAACATCTCGCTACCTCCACGCACTCTATTTTATGACTAACTCCTTCTCTATACAACTAACGATGAAACTAACAATGCCAGCGTACTCGCCATGGGCTAAACCCCTACTTCACATCTTCCCTCGTTCGATTCCGTAAACGATTCCCGCTGCGATCATGTTCATCATCACTGTGTACTCCGCGCAAAATTTTCCTTCCCTACCTCCTAACCTACTCATCTACTGCCAAAACTAATGCCATTACTAAACTCACCCGATGCCAACCTTGGCACGTACGCATATGTCACATTCAATCATGCTAATCAAAATTAAATATAATTTAATCATAACTTAATAAAAAATAACAAATTTTAGTTGACAACCGACCGACTTTACAATCATTAACAAGAAACAGAGATCACGTGCCCCTTAAATTTGCACGCCCACACACTTTTTATTTCTAGTCAACCCCTTGGTCAACATACACAAAAACGCAAGTTCGACACGCGCTTCATATTCAAATCCCCGAATCAACTATTCCTATGTCACTTGCAAAAAGACAGGGCAGATACCCATGTAAGGGTATTCGCACCGACAACGGGAAAGATGAGGAGGGGGAGGACGACGAGTAGCTACAAAATGTACCAACGACCATCCATACAAATTGACCCCTTTATAAGTTGTTCATGGGACTATCGCCGATCTTACCGCCACCACTGCCAAAGAGGCTTCAGTCATCAATTAAGGAGCAAACAAAATACGGTGACCAAACAGTATTTTATTATGAACCGGAGTGACCACCCGTATTACCCAATGGTCGGGGGGGTCCACCCCCAGTGGGATAAGCAAAAAGGATTTTTCCCAGTCGACTTTCGACTGAGATATCTAACGAAACAATGTGATTGTATCTCTAAGAGCATAAAAGGTATGGTCCGATAAGGGTGTGAAGACAAAAAAATCGTCTGCGAAGGCTTCCGTTTTCTCTCCAGACTGTAAAAGCAACCCGGAATATGCAAATTCACGCGGATCATAAAGTGCATGACTTCTCCATACAGAAGGTAAAGGTACGGGGTGACCGGGCCCCCTTGCCTCACCGGTCTACTCAATGAGAGAGGGGTCGACAATTTGTCGTTTACTGACAGTTTAGACTCCGCTCCACTGTGTAATGCCCGTACCACATTTCTGAACCTATATCCAAAACCATATGTGACTAGGGCAACTTGTAAAAATTCCCAACCAACCTTGTCGTACCATTTCTCAAGGTCTATAAAAAACATTGTCAGTTGGTCATCCCCCTGTCCCACCATCACTATTATTTGTCCCACTGTCACGACATTAAAAAATATTTGACGGTTTTTGAAAAAAACAATATGAGTCGAGCTTATCAGAGTAGGCAGGACAAACTGCAGTCTGAGTGTATGGATCTTAGAAAGTAGTTTAAGCCCAACTAATTCAATTACCTCTCAAATCTGGACATGACGGCCTTTGACTTTTTTTTATTGTCATTGTAGTATTACCGTACTATTACGGAGAACCTACTAGCAACCATATTTGTGCTCAAGTCTCCAACGAGGGAACATGGTCGAGCTGCACCTACAAGTAGGCGCGAACAGGTGGGCGATACCGGCCAAGGGTGAGTCGGTAGCATCAAAACCGAGTTTCTTCAATGGGTTAGTCGCCGTGCCTATGAACATCAATAGTCTTTGCTGAATGTCACTCGGGGGGACCAACGGCCTATCTTTACCATCTTAACCTGAATACAAGGTACAGACCTTGTAGAACGAATTTTATGATGCAACTTTCCTCGGGAAGGGGAATATATACAACATATATACATATATATCGTCACAAACATATATATCTATATTTGTGACAACATATATCTATATATATATGCAGTAAATATTAGTAATAATATTACGAATAAAACACAATCGATTGCTACCAGGATGAGACTGCAACGTGAAGTTTTTTTTTCTTTTCTTTCAATAACACATTGAGTGCGTTGCATGCTCACGATCCGGCATGCATTCAAACGTTACGTGTTTGAGTGTGTGTGTGTGTGTGTGTGTGTGTGAGAGAGAGAGAGAGAGAGAGAGAGAGAGAGAGAGAGATGTGTGTGTGTGTGTGTGTGTGTGTG